AGTGAGACAATGTCACTGAGACACAATATGGTAACTTGGGTGTTCGGATAAAACTATAACTTATACCTAGAAAAAAAAACTAATTCTGGTTGTATCTCTTTTTCGTTCCGGGTGGTGAGCGAACATGATGAAGAAGAAGAAGATGGCTTGCCCCGTCTCCGAACGAGTGTATTGTTGATGGACCTGGTCTACGATTCAAGATTGGTTTCTGTAATGATAAGTAGGGGAATTTACGTATTCTCGTCAATCTAAGCAGCGTCTGCACTTCTACTAGCATATTCTCAGCGTCACGCACATATATGATGTGTCTGTTTGTTTACATTCATGTGCTGCTTGCTTCTCTATCCATTCCAATCGACAGCATTTTTCAAAACGTTTTGAAAGCGTTTTTACAACGCTCCAAACTTCTCAGGTGAGTGTGACTATTGTCGGCAGCCTCTTTTTCTTCGGCAACCTTCCCATTAGAACTGCGTGTTAACCAGCTGTTCTATTATCGGCAACTCGAAATCAACCCCATTTTGTAGTGCGTATGCTTTATTTGAAGAAAAATGTAGCATTACTGGATTGCTCGATCGTTCAAATATAATCAGATTGAAGCTGAAAGGCTAAACAATCGTTTGGACACATTCAGGGAAGTGCGTTGATGGGAAAACATAGTGAAATTAACGTTTAAATTTAGGTTGCCGAAAACAGTCAATGGGTGCCGAAGCCAACATTTACCCTATCACCATCTTCATCGAAATGTAAGTATTATTGACAATAATCATAACAATCAATTCGTATATACATTGAAATACATACATAAAAGGGAAGGGATGGTCCAACAGGGCACCCGATTGAAGCGATTCGGACGGGGAGAATGGGAATGCCAACTCCCTGTTGATAACATTTCGTGGATAAAGGGCGGGCTCTTCTCCCAACTCATTGGGGCATCTTCCTGTTTGGGGGCTTGTCTTTTTGACCAATTGGCTGATCAAGTTGCTGGAAGGAGATTCTTTATTGTTCCGTAGATGCGTATAGGCGACATTGCCTATCGATCTATCCAATCCGTTTTTGGCCCTTCATACAGCGACATGTTGACGACAATCAGAGGTTATTAAGCTTGATCAAGGCAAACAGGGAAGAGAGCCCACTGCTGTCGGACTTAGTTTCCGTGCTACAATCGGTGGTAAACCACTATTATGTCATTAATTATTTATGTGCCATTAGATTTCAATAACAATGTTCTATTTTAAATTTACACGTCAAAATAATATCAAAGAATATTAAAGCATGCCTATAAAAATCGGGGCAGCCTCCCTTAGCTCAGTCGGTAAAGGTGCAGCTACAAAGCAAGACCATGCTGGAGGTGGCTAGGTTCGATTCCCGGTCCGGTCTAGGAATTTTTCGGGATGGAAAATTGTTCGACTTCCCTGGGCATAGAGTATGATTGTTTTTGCAAAAATGGTACAGGCATCGAAAGCTCTCAATTAATAACTGTGGAAGTGCATCTAGAACACTAAGTTGATAGCACGCAATAAGCTAAAAATACGATAAGCATTAAGCTTGAAATGCGATGAAGAAGAAGAAGACTATAAAAATCGGGATTAATGAAATTGAAGTTTCTTTGGTTATTTCAGAGTATTCCAGATTTTACATCTTGAAACTCTTTCTTCTCGTCTAAAACCGGATGACACTCCTCGTCGAACCCATATTTTCGTCGATTCCTCCGATCGCACCCAATAGCATCTTCTGCAGCGCTATTGATGGCTACTTTGACACTACTCCAGGATTCCTCAATGCTGCTTCGAGGTTTTGTGCTTAATCAGTTGTGTGATGTAGTGGTAAGCGTGATTACCTCTCATGAGTTGATGGGTCGATAGGTAGGGTGTAGGTGTAGGAGCTGCCTCCCTTTCGTCGGTAGCATTGGTGCTCAGCACGGAAAATAAGATCGACGGAACAGTTGTATATAGCCGGCGCCGGTGGTGTAGTGGTAAGCGTGAATGCTTTCTCACACCCCAATGGGTCTGGGTTCAATCCCAGCCAAGGTCGGTGGGATTTTTCTGAGGCATAAAAATCTCTGGTCACGTCTTCCTTCCTTCGCCGTTGGTCCCGGCCCATGTGTGTTGATGAATGGGTGCGATATCCTACGCAGGTGTGGAAGCTACCTTCCTGCACATTCGAATGCCATCAATGGATGGCAATCGATGTCCGTCGGTGATTGGCACTAGATTGCGGAACAGAGACCGACGTTAAATAAAGGAATGAAGGAACAGTTGTGTCTGCGGGTAGCATGAGTTGTTCCAGATTGTAACGAGGCGGACATCGATACCAATAGTTGTGGCAACGGAACATCTGTGGTGCAGTAGAGTGATGCAAAATTTGAAATTTTCGCTCCACAATTCTTAAACGATTCCAAATCGGATCCTGGCTAACCTCTCAAAATTTGAACCAATTTGGTGAGAAACTGAGATGGCACAAACCATTTGAAGTTTGTATGGGAATTACTATGGTAAAACCAAGATTTTTGTTCATGTCTATCTAATAATTCACCATATCGGTCCACTTCAAAAGTTTTCAACTGTACTTGTAGGAAATTTTCCCAGCTACAACTTTGCTCAATTTCACTTTTTAATTAAATGCAACACAGCTTAAAAAAAGTAGTGTAAATTTCCGTTACTATGATGCATATAAATGGAGCGTCATAAATCATACAAATTTACATTATAAATCGTGTAAATTTATGAGACAAGTCATGCAATAATCCATATATTGTATGCAACTTTCCACCTTTGTTTGCAACATTTCTTGCAAGCTGCTAGTTTACGTGAAAAGGAAGTTTACATGCATGAATGTTTGCATGCATAGATGTTTACATCACCAGTAAAATTCAGATTTTTTTAGTGTGAAGGATCGAAAGTTATCAATGGTTCAATGCGCTGATGTCTTATGATCATGCTTAATCAACTGCTCAGCAGGCAACATTGGTGTTTCTGGGGCGTTGAATAGGACATACAAACCATGGCTACTATGTCACACTGCAAAATACAGTGTTGCCTACAGAGCAGCTGCTGGATCATGTCATAAGTGTACCAATCTCTTAAATAATTAATAACTTTTTCCTGTCTCGTTTTACATAGAAACAATTTTCAGCAAAGTTGTAGCTGAGAAAATTTTCTATAAGAATGGCTATCGAACTGTTTCGCAGCTCAATATGGAAAAAGACTAGAAGGCAATGAACAAAAAGTTGAGATTTCCCATAGTAATTTACATGTAAACTTCAAATGGCTTGTGCGAAGTCTGTTTCTAACCAAATGAGTTGTAGCTTTGGGAGGCTAATCAGGATCCGATTTGAAACCATTTAAGCACTGTGGAGCGAAAAAGTCAAATTTTGCATCAGTCTAGTGGTGCAGCTATAGGTCCTGACGTCAATGATATTTGGCAGGTGCCTTCCATCAATCAAAACATGGTATGCTAAAGGGTGATACGGTCAAAATTTGGTCAATATCAACTTGACGTATTTCTTTCAATTTTGCATTTAAAAAACCTGAACACCCCTCATTTTGAAGGTGTGTTTGTGTAGAATGTTGCTCCTATTTTGATTTTGGAATTCACTCTTCAGTTGTCAAAATGCCGTCCAAGCAAGAAGAGCAGCGTATCAAAATTTTGCTCGCGCATCGCGAAAATCCGAGCTACTCGCACGCAAAGTTGGCAAAATCGCTAAAAGTTGCCAAATTAACCGTTACAAATGTAATTAAAGTGTTTGGGGAACGTTTGTCGACAGCCAGGAAGTCTGGATCGGGGGGAAATCGAAAACCGGAAGCCGCTGAGACGACAAAGAGAGTTGCCGGTAGTTTCAAGCGAAACCCTAACCTCTCTCTCCGAGATGCCGCAAATAAGCTGGGTGTATCGTCTACAACCGTGCATCGAGCCAAAAAACGAGCCGGACTATCGACTTACAAGAAGGTAGTGACTCCAAATCGCGATGATAAACAAAATACGACGGCCAAAGCGCGATCCCGGAGGCTGTACACGACGATGCTGACGAAGTTTGACTGCGTGGTAATGGATGACGAAACCTACGTCAAAGCCGACTACAAGCAACTTCCGGGACAGGAGTTTTATACGGCAAAAGGAAGGGGAAAGGTAGCAGATGTTTTCAAGCACATGAAACTGTCAAAGTTCGCAAAGAAATATCTGGTTTGGCAAGCCATCTGTACCTGTGGCTTGAAAAGCAGCATTTTCATAGCTTCCGGGACTGTCAACCAAGAAATTTACGTGAAAGAGTGTTTGAATAAACGTCTGCTGCCTTTCCTGAAGAAACACGGTTGTTCCGTACTGTTTTGGCCGGATTTGGCATCTTGCCATTATGGTAAAAAGGCCATGGAGTGGTACGCCGCCAACAACGTGCAGGTGGTTCACAAGGACAAGAACCCTCCCAACACGCCAGAGCTCCGCCCAATTGAGAAATACTGGGCTATTGTCAAGCGGAACCTAAAGAAGACCAAAAAAACTGCTAAGGGCGAGCAGCAGTTCAAGGCAAACTGGCTTTCTGCGGCGAAGAAGGTGGACAAGGTGGCTGTACAAAATCTGATGGCAGGGGTCAAGCGTAAGGCCCGGCAATTCAGATTTGGAAAAGCGGAAGCCTAACTGAATATTTTTCCTGAATTTTATACTAATTGAACTTGAAAAATAAATTTAACTTGATTTTTTAAATAAACGATTTCACCGATTTACACGCGTTTTACCTTGACCAAATTTTGACCGTATCACCCTTTAGGCCAATTTCTTGATTTCTTGATTACTCAATTTGTCAATTATAAATGTGAACCAGGCTTCGAGGCTTTACTCAACGGTATTTAGAGGATCATTAGGAAGTTAACCAGGTTTGGCAAACCATCACACATTTTTTTCGTGGAAAATAGGGTCTTTTATCAAGCAAACACAACCGAGATTTAAAATTTTTAGCATTTATTTCGATCGGAACACTTACACAACAATATCGTTTATGTATGGGCACATTTTTGGTATTTAGGTCTAATCAATCGTCATTTGTACACATGAAAAAGAGCTTATCCTTCGATCTACGGCCTCACAGATCAGATGACCCTAACTAATGGTAGTAAAACTGGTATAGTAAAATAGAGTGGCTTTCTCGTGTCGCCGTGTCAAATGCACGAGTCTGAGTAATACATGCTAACAGGAATTGAAGCTTCCGGGCAAGGTCTGTCCTAGAGCTTTCCATTCTCGACGCCTTCTGATTGCTGTTTCCGTTTGCCAAAGTTCTCACCATCTTCGATGGTTTCCGGCAGAGGATGTCCTTGCGTTTCGGGCAGGAAGAATACAAAGAAGGCGCCAATCAGTGGAATCACTCCGAAGATGAGCGGTGGCAACCAGTGAGAGATAACTCCCATACCGGCGACAAATGGTGCAATCATCGAGCCGATTCGAGCAATCATAGATGCAGTTCCAATACCGACGTTCCGAACGACCGTTGGGAAGAGTTCACCCGCATATAGGTATACTGTCGGGAAGGAAATACTCATTCCTACAAGACCTATAGAAGCCAGTGTTACGTTGAGCCAGGTCACGGACGGAGGTACGAAAGCGATGGCCAGCATAGTTAAACCGGTCAGCGTGTTCGAAGTGATCAGGGTCTTTTTTCGACCGTACTTCTTCATCATGTAGATACAGACCAATGTTCCGGGGAGTTCCAATGCTGCTCCGATGGCTACGTTGGTATATATGTCTCCACCCGAGTGGCCAATGTACTGAGCCACACCGAAGAAAGCCAACCCACAGACGAACCAGTTGAAGCACATGTAGAGAGTTTTTGCTCGCATGTTGGGCGTCCGGAACAGATCCAACAAGTTACCCTTGGCCACACCTCCGTGGGTTTTCGTTTTTGCGTACTGTTCCACATCGGTTCGGATGTGCTCCGTTGGTAGTTTATTACGCTTGGCTGCCTTTTCAAGTACCTGAATGGCTCCCTCAGTGTTACCGGAAGTGAACAAATACCGCGGTGATTCCGGAACCAACCAGTAGTAGGAAACCAGCAGAACGGAGAAGATGGACAGACCAAACTGCAGAGTGTGCCAGTCTCGAAGGAAGTACGCGAAGCCAGCCAACGTCAGGTGACCCAGGTTGAACGGGATCTGGTACAGAACGGAGAACAGCTCACGCCATTTCGGGCCAATGATCTCCATCACCAAAACGAAACTGGAAAAAAGCGGATTGTAGAATGTTAATGATATGTGTAATAAATTATTGTGATAAAAATTCAAATCAAAAATCGTTCCTCACCTCGTCACCATGGTTCCTCCGGTGGCAACGGCCGTAATGAAGCGCAGAACTACGAATCCCCAAAACCATGGGATAAAGGCGGTTCCGACACCACTAATTAGCTGAATTATGACCGCAATCACCAACGGTGGTCGACGTCCATACCTGTATAGATAGAGGTAATAAATTATCACGAATCCAGCCTTCAACGAATGTCCGCGTTCCACACTTACTTGTCGGCCAGCGATCCAAACAGCACACCGCCAACGAGAATGCCAAACATGAAAATAGTTTGCGAAAGGTTCACCAAATTGGCCTTCTCGCAGACCAGATCCCACTCACTGACGATCGTCGAACTGAAAACACTGGTATCGTAGGTCCAGCTGGTGCACTCGCTGCTACACCTGTCCAAGGTGCTATTGGACGCGCAGGTATAATTCATGGCTGCCCCCAGGAAGATGATACCCATCTGATGCCACGCCACGGGGAACTTGAGCGGGAACACTACGGCGCACACCAAGATGTGCCACCAACCGAGCTGGCCCATGGCCCTCTGTATCGGGTCCAGGTTCCATTTGGAGTCGCTCTTTTTCGCTGTCGTCGTTGCAGTCACTGCAAGGAGAAGAAACGGGAGGAGAAAAATGCAAAGCGCAATTTAGAATATTGACTGGACAAGCATTGACCCACTGACTGCTGCTGCTCCGTGGTTGAGCGTAAATCACTTGTGGGGATTTTTTCTTCATTTTCTTATTTGTGTGCTTAATTGTATAATGAGAACCAGTTACAGGCAGAAACACTGCACTTGAAGACTGCGAATAACCTCATTGCATTTGGCGTAGTGGTTTATAGAAGGGTGATCGTAAAAGTGAAATTAAAAACTGTCGTAAAATGGAAATTACGGATTTGAGCCCAATCTTCGGATTGATAAAGTGGAAATTTATATAGTAAGTGGTCAGGCAGCAATTAAACGGTCTTAATCAAACCAAATTAAAGAAGAATAAGTTAATTATTGAAACAATTTTTAATGTGTAACATACTTACTCAAAATATTGCACACTGTGCCAAAACTGATTCAGAACTGCACTTATTTCGTGCTGCTACATGGTGAGGAAAAGAGTTCAGCTCCTATTTGACAGACGCTAAATTCAGCACACCTGTGTCAATTTTGGCCTTGATTCATTATAAGTAAACGTGCACAGTTTTGTTCGAATGCGTTGACGAGTAGTGCATCACACCTCAACACCTAAATCGAATCCCAAATCAGCTACAATAAAAAAAAATGCAACTGAAAGCACTGGAAGCACCACATCCCACTGCCTGATGAAGTGAAAAGTAAAGCTTATGCTTATAGGTTTCAAATCCATTTGAGTTAACTCTTCTAATTTGACTGATTTTCATTTATCATATGCCAATCACATAAAAGTTACCAACTAAGCAGCATTCATGTAGAATTTACCAGATACATTTTCAATCATATCGTTTTCATTGGATTTTCTTATAGCACATAACAGGAATATGTCATAATGGTTCAGTTTAGTACACTGAAACAAAACTTAACATAATCACAATTGGCGAAATCCTTTAAATTAAATTGCATTTCCAATGAAGAAATCGCTTTTTGAAATCCATATGATTTTCATATGACCATCACTAATGACACATACTTCAGAAAACAGGAAAAAGATACATTTTATAGGTTTTTCCAAAAGTACAATTTTATATGAAAATCAATGGTTTTTACGTGTCATTTTCGTTCTGTGTAGAAGCTTGTACAGTGGTCAAAATCACAAAAATAAAAAAGGTCAAATTCACCACTACGTGATTAAAGCTTTTTTCCGTGCCTCTTTCCGTAAGCTGAGACGGTGCTACATTTACACCACATCAGCGGCGTGCAACATTCGAAGGACAGTTGAATAAATGGTTATCACAAAACACGTGTTTTTCAACGTCGACGCTGAAGCTGCACCAATCAATAGGAAGGTGCTAATTGAAACAGATTGTTGATGGGCCGCTAGTGTCCAAGTTTTCTAGTAAACATTGAAGAGACGACATGTCAAAATGGAACAATCGATTATCTGTCAAAGTCATAAGACGATTATCTGTCAAAGTCATAGGATAAATCAATCCAATCGAGCAGAAGACCTGTCAAATGGATAAGATGTCGTCTCTTTATAAATACAGGCTCTTTAGTAAACATAATCACGGGAGTAGGCTACTGATAATAATTTAATGATATAAACTGATATTTCCGGACTGATTTGAGATGAGGGCGTAACAGTATTTGTAAGGTCTCAGGACAAATGGCCGAATGACGAATGGCCGAATGACGAATAGCTGAATGACGAATGGCCGAATGACGAATAGCCGAATGACGAATGGCCGAATGACGAAAGGACGAATCACCGAAAGGACGAATAGCCGAAAGGACGAATGGCCGAAAGGACGAATGGCCGAAAAGACGAATGGCCGAATGGACAAGTGTCCGAATGGACGAGACTGAACGAATGAACGAATTTAAATTTGTCGGATAGGTGGATTAATTAAATTCATCCCTTTAATCAACTTGACAATCGCTGAAGATACATTTGATTTTAATGTTGCATAAATCAGCAATAAGATCATTCAGTTAGGAAACAGTCTTAACAACAACTGCAAGACATAATCTTAGATTTTCATAATTAAATTAGGTATATTTTAAAATAGAGACTATTCCTTCTTTTAAACATGAGCTGTTCTTCCGAAATATTTTTTCAAGTGATTTTTATTGCTTTTGCATAATTAATTTTAGAGAGATATTTCCTTCTTTTAAACATGAGACTGTTCTTTCGAGTTATATTGTAGCAGATTTATTGACGCTTCAGTTAGTCATGAGATTTTTTATCTTTAACCCTTTTGTTTTTGCTGTTTTTACACCGTGTATTCAAATCCCGTCACGCACATAACAGTTAAAACTGAGATCTGGTTGAAAGTGGTAGAAATAGATAAATCTTCTATTCTTCCGAAACATATTTTTGTAGTGATTTTTGACGCTTCGGAAATTATTATTTTTAATAGAGGTATTTTCTTCTTTTAGAGATGATGAGCTATTCTTTCACATTATATTATTAAAATCAAATAATAATACAAAACTCCATATTTCCATTAAGGCCGTTCGAAAGAAAGTATGTGGAATTAAAACAAAAATTTGCTCATTAGAGGACAGCATCAATTTTTCATTTATTGTGCAATTATTAAAATTAAAACCGTAGATTTTTTTATTTCATAAATGTAATCCTTGAAGTCTCGTCCATTCAGCCATTTTTTCCATTCGGCCATTCGTCCTTTCGGCTCTTCGTTCGTTCGGCCATTCGTCCATTCGACCATTTGTCATTCGGCCATTCGGCCATTCGGCCATTCGTCATTCGGCCATTTGTCATAAGACCTTTTGTAACAGTAAATAATAACTGAATTTCTCAAACAAACTATACCAACTGCGCAACTGCTAGAGGAATCATTCCCCTACCTGATGGTGTAAGTTTGCGAGGTTGAGCTTTTAGCAGTTATGCCCAAATGTCAAATCAGTCCGGATTTGTTTCATTCCCAATTGGTTTCGTAACTTTTGTGGGTTATGTACTGCCGTCATACGCATAAGTGTCCCATGTTCCATGCAATCTTTATTCTATTATTCGTTTATTCGTTCACATAAATGGAAGAACCAACGACTGCGAATTTGATGAAATCTTCGATTACAATTCAACAATGATAACATTAGAAATAGATTGAACATTGTTGATTGGCAAGCAATATTAAGAACTGCAGGAAATGTTGAATGTACAGTTGACGTATTCTACAATGTGTTGCTTGGAATAATACTTGAAGAAGTGCCAACTAAAAGAAGAAGATGTCAGACTCATGCAAAACATCCGGTTGGTACAACAGGGAACTGAAAAATTTTAAAAATCGTAAGCAAAAAGCGCACAAATTTTATAAAAAATATAATAGTGAAGAAACTTTGCCATACTATTTAGACATTTGCGATCAGTTAAATTTGGCCGTGAATATGGCATTTGAGGAGTATAATTTAAAATCTTGTCGTAGGAACTTCTTCAATTGTGTGAAAACCATATTGATCTGAAATTATAAGATGCATTTGGACGAGTGAGAACTCGGATGATATATGCGATTTGTTTGCAAATTTCTTCCAAGAAATCTATGCTACGTTTTCAGAAGAGGATCGTGACCGTGAATATTTTGAATCTTATCCAGAATTTTCAAATGACATCAGCGTAAGTCAAATCAAGGTTCATGATATCTTAAAAGGTTTAAACAATTAAGATGCATCTAAAGGTCCTGGCCCTGACGGTGTTCCATCAGTTTTTATGAAAACTTTAGCAACTGAACTTACTGCTCCATTGTTTTGGATTTTCAATATGTCACTGGAATCCGGAAACTTCCCTAAAATATGGAACAACTAGTTTTTAGTGCCTATCTTTAAATCGGGCAAAAAATCTGACATATTTACGTAATTATCGTGGTATAGCTATTATCTCTTGCATTCCGAAACTTTTCCAGGCGATTGTAAATGAAAAACTCTTTCTTCAAATTAAAAACAGAATAACTACTATGCAACATGGCTTCTTTAAAGGCCGTTCAACAACTACGAATTTGCTCGAATTAATTAATTATTCCTTGAATGCAATGGATAACGCAAACCATGTATAAGTGTTGTTTTTAACAGATTTCAGCAAAGCGTTTGATCGAATTGACATACCCATGCTTCTTTTTAAACTTAAAAAAATGGGAGTTCATTACGCACTCCTCAAGTGGCTTGAATCATATTTAACTGACCGCCATCAAACAGTAAAATATAAAGGAAAGACATCAAATCCCGTTGAAGTCACTTCAGGAGTTCCGCAAGGCTCCCATTTAGGTCCGCTTTTATTTATTCTCTTTGTCAATGACATATCTTTCATTATTAAGAAATTGAAAGTTTTAATCTATGCTGACGACATTAAACTTTTGTTGGAAATAAAAGATGCCAAAGACATCATCACATTCAAAGAGGAAATACAGATATTCCATACTTGGTTTCATAAAAGCCTGCTACAATTAAATATAAAAAAATTTAACTCAATTACCATTAGTAGAAAACGAATCCTACCCGATATAACAATCACTTTAGGAAACCAGATCGTAGAAAAGTGTGATAGAGTCAGGGATCTAGGTATTATTTTGGACTCAAAATTTACTTTCACAGATCATTATAACAGAATTATTAACAGAGCTAACAACATGCTTGCTTTGATAAAACGTTTCTGTTATAACTTTCACGATCCGTATACGATAAAAACATTATACATTGCTTATGTAAGGTCGATTTTAGAAATTGCAGCATAGTTTGGTCTCCTTTTTCAATCACACACGAAGAAAGAATAGAGTCGCCGGCGCCGGTGGTGTAGTCGTAAGCGTGACTGCTTTCTAACACCCCAATGGGTCTGGGTTCAATCACAGCCGAGGTCGGTGGGATTTTTCAGAGGCATTAAAATAACTGGTCACGTCTTCCTTCGGAAGGGAAGTAAAGCCGAAGGTCCCGGTCCATGTGTGTTGAATGGGTGCGATATCCTACGCAGCTG